AAATTAGAGATAATAAAGTCCACTGTTAAAAAGTCCAAGATCAGTTCATCCATTCATCTGTCTGTCTGTCCATCCATCCACGCATCCATATACCTTTCCATTCATCTATCCATCCATCCACCCTTCACCCACCCTCCCATCCATCCATCCATCCATTCGATCATGATTAATCTGTAAAAATACTAGAAACACCAGGACTCTTTTTTTTTTAGGTGCCATATACTTGTTTTTTTTTTTCTCAATGTTTTATTGTGAATTATGTGATAGTTTAGTGTACATGGGAGAACATTCATTTTGCATTCATGTAATTTTTAAAGTTCAAAATTGTGCTGTGTGAAAGGAGTCAATCACAAAAGAACAAATATTGCAGGAAACCATCCTGTAGGATAAGCACTGGACTGATAACCGCAATGTCGGTAGTTATCCCCGTCCTCAGTAACCCTATATAGGGTTGCTATAAGTTAGAGCCGACTCAGTGGCAGTTAACAATCCTGTTATAAAAAGTTAAAATGTTTTCTTGCTAAAAGAAACATTCTATGAGGCCTACCAGGGGTGAGAGGGAAGGGAAAACTTCTAGCTGGCTGGAGGGTAGATACACATTAACTTGGGTGATGGGAGGTTGGCAAAGAAAAGATGAAGGTAGCCAAAGATGCAAGAGGAAAGCAAGAGTTAAATGAGTAGAGGTAAATACTCTCAACTGACAGTGCATGTTATACAGGGGAATGATGGTGAATGTTATTACAAGGGAATTGTAATCATTATAATGAAACAAAGCATATGATTTGTTGAATGTGAAACTGATGATCTGCTCTGTAAACCTCTCAATTCATAATAAAAGTTCTTTAAAAAACAAAAAACAAAAGCAAAACCTCCCTTGATGGTAGACCAGCACTTTGAGCATGTGGCCTCTGCCTAGTTCTCCAAACTCATCTCCTTCCATTCTTCCTCCTGCTCCATGCCTCCCATTGCAGGTATACTGACCTCCCTCATTCCACTGCCGTTCCCACCAGCAGTCCCCCTTTCTGCCTCGTCCAGTTGCCTTTAAGTTGATTCTGGCCCAAGGTGACCCCATATGTGTCAGAGCAGAACTGTGCTCCTTTGGGGTCTCAGCGGCTGATTGTCTGGGAAGTGGATTCCCAGATACCTCGGGGTGAGCAGTCAAGCTTACACCACCCTTGGACTCTCACCTCTGCCGAGGTTACTCTTCTTCCATGACTGGGACCTATTTGCCTGGGCTAAACTTGAGCCTTCCTGAACCACCTGAGGAGGCATTACACCCTTTGCTGCTTCCTTTTTCCCACAGTTGAGTGTGTCTAATGTTCCTTGTCTATCTCCCCTGCTTGACTGGAGGTTCCTCAAGCTCAATGCCACTTCTACTTCCTCCCAGGCCTAGCAAAGAGCTCAGATACCCACAGTCTACTTCATAGCCGACAATGCTCCTCTTACTAGGCTAGGTTCCTTGGAAAGAGATGAAAATGCCAAAGCAGAGACTGACAAAGGCTTTTCAATGGAAGTCCTTGAACAAGTTTTAAAGGTGAGAGGAAATACAGGGACTCAACACTAGTGAGCTATGTTCACCATGGAAAGGCTAACCGTTCATGATCAAAAGGGCGACATTTCCCTGGGGACAAGGAGGGTGGAACGGAAACAGGGAGCACAGGGAGGAAGTGGGATAATGGTTGTTCCATGGACGGGACTGCAATCATTGAGATGAAACAAGTGTCTGATATGTTGGATGTAAAACTGATGACCTGCTCTGTACATCTTCATTCACTTCACAAGGAAAAGTGCTTTTTTAAAAAAAAAAAAAAAAAAAAAAGAAATACAAGGAATCATATTCTATTAGATTAGGCAGTAAAGAGGGGCTTCCTCAATATAACCTGATGTTCCAATGCACAGGTAAGTCAGCATGGAGTGTGGGATGTGGGTGAGATCATCAAAGCCATGTGACAATCCTGACAGTACATGAGGAACACACAGGGGAACAGAGAGCTCTCCCAGGAAAGGCCCCCACACATCAGACCAGCAACCAGGGAAGGGGCCAGGGTTACGGGGCTGCTGTGAAGCCAGTGCAAAGAGAAATACCTCCTTCCCTCATTCTTTCTCATCCGTCATTTTTGTAAGGAGGAAAACACATGGACAGCTTTCATCACCATATTCCTTTTAGGGCTAACATAATGGCAACACCATATCCATCTGAAACAATGGAAGGGGCCCTGGTGGCACATTGGTTAAGTGTTTGACTGGTAACCGAAAGTTGGTGGCTCAAACCCACCAACCGCTCCACAAGAACAAGACGTGGCAATCTGCTTCTGCAAAGATTTTGTTGTTGTTGTTGTTGTTAAGCATCGTTGAGTCGGTTCTGACCCATAGTGATGCTGTACAGGGTTTCCAAGGAGTAGCTGATGAGCTTGAATCGCCGACTTAGCGGTTCAAATAGCTCTGGAAACCCTACGGGGTCACTCTGTGTCATGCTTACAGGCACACGCATGTTTGTGTGTTTGTTTAATGGAGTCAAATACAAGGAGACATGCATTCTGAAGGCATCCCAGTGGGGCCTAAGTGATAGGTCAGCCTCAAGGCACTGCGGATCTGTGACAAGTGATTAGACCTGTTGCCATAGAGTCAACTCTGACTCACAGAAATCCTGCAGGACACACAGAAGTGCCCCAGAGGGTTTCTTAGGCTCTCTACTAACAAGGAGCCCTGGCGGCATAGTGGGTAATACATTAGGTTGCTGACCAGAAAGTCCACAGCTTGTACCCACCAGCTGCCTTGCAGGAGAAAGAAGAGGCTTTCTGCTCCCATAAAGATTTGCAGCCTCAGAAACCCTATGTAGGGTTGCTATGAGTCAGAATTGACTAGATGGCAGAATGGAAACTCATTCTTTGGCTCCACACTGCTTCTTAGTTCTCAGGGAACCTTGGCAAGTTTTCCTCAAAGTCAAAACCCTTCGCAGAAGCACACAGACTCTTTCTATACCACTGGCTCTGGGGACCTTTATAGATTGCTTGAAGTGTGTGTGTGTCAGAGGGCAGCATGGTGTAGAGAAGGGGTGGGGAACCTTTTTTCTGCCAAAATTTATACCATCTTTTACTGGCCATACAAAATTATCAAATTAAAAAGCAGCCTGCTATCTTTGGTCAAACATTTAAGCAATTCACTGTGATGCTGTGGGTTAATGAGCTGGATTGCAAAGTCACTTTGAACCACAAGGTCGGCAGGTCAAGCTCACCAGCTGCTTGGAAACCCTATCCAGGGTGGCTGTGGTCGGATCTGACTTGACGGCACTTAACAACAACAACAAACAACAATGTGATGGCAGTTCAAACTCACCAACCACTTCCCAGAAACCCTACACAGGGTTGCTATGAGTCAGCACTGATTGATGTAATGGCTGGAACTGCAGTTGCGTTGGCCGGGCCAGGCCAAATGACATCACAGGCCTTATACAACCCTTGTGCCAGATGTTCCCCACCCCTGGTGTAGAGGAAAAAGCATGAACTGTGAAGTTAGATGGTTCCTGAGTGAAGCTGGCTTTCAGGGTTCACTGCTTGTGTGACTTTGGGCAAGTTACTCAGCCACTTGGCTTTTGGCTTCATCCTTTGAATAAAAACAACTTCTGTCTCACTGGGTTCTTTTCTCTTTTTTGAAAGAATTACATGAGATGCTAGGTAAAAAGTCCATGGTACCCAGTGGGCAGAGACATATTTGAATGTCCTTTTGTGGTGTATCTGTCTCTTCCAGCCTTAGTCTTTGTAATTTCCATTAAATTAAATGGCTCTTTTCCTAGTAGGCCTGTGTAAGAGAAGTGGGGAAGAGATACTGATAGGCTGGCATGATTCAGCGGTGGATGTTAACAGTTCATTGTAATTGTGAAAACTTGAAACTCTAGCATGGGTATAAAATGAACCATCTCAGAAGTCAGAGAGGGGAATCTCAGTACCATCAAAGAAGAGCCAGGAGGGGTGTGTATCTTTTGGGTGTTCAGATCTCTGATCATTGAACCTCCTCAACTCAGGGACAGATAGCTGTGACAATGGAGGGGTTGTTGTTGTTGTTAAGTGCCATCGAGTCAGTTCTGACCCATAGCGACCCTGTACAGGGTTTCCGAGGGTGTAAATCTTTACGGGAGTAGAAAGCCTCATCTTTCTCCCATGGAGCGGCTGGTAGTTTCGAACCGCTGACCTTAAGGTTCTTAGCCCGATTCGTAACCACTACGCTACCAGAGGGGTGACAGAGGAGAAGTAGCAGAACCAAGAAGCAGAGCACAAGAACTAGCCCACAGAGCAAATAAAGCTGAGGCACTTGGGGCAGGTTGCTTGCTTGCAGCGTTGGGTGTCTCAGGCACTTACTCCGAGGAAGTAGGTTTGCTGACCTACAGGCTAGAGCCTAGTGCCTTCAGGTTGAGATTTAAGGTGAAGTAGTATATCCTGTGGTCATTTAAGGTGGAGTAAGGAGCTCTGGTAACGTAGTGGTTACGAATCGGGCTGTGAACCGCAAGGTCAGCAGTTCAAAACTACCAGCTGTTCCGCTGGAAAAAGATGAGGTTTTCTGCTCCTGTAAAGATTTACAGCCTCAGAAACCCTATACAGGGTCACTATGAGTCGGAACCGACTCCATGGCACATAACATAAGTATATCCTGTGGTCATTTATCAGCAACCCCAAAAGAGTTAGGCACAGCTGAGGAGAGAATATGCTGACTGGAATACCTGTGCTCTGAGCATTTCTGATCCTGAGCAGAACCCCTAATCCTGTTAACCTCGCTAATAAACCCCATAACTGTGGTTATAGTTTCTGAGTTCTGTATGACCATTACAACAAATTACAGAACCCGGCTGAGTGGAGAGTGCTGTGGGGGGCTGGCGTGCTCCACGGTTCTGAACCTTTCTTCACTTCTGTTGGGCTCTGAGACATAGACTGGGATCCACACAGTAACTAGCTCTCAATGTTCTACGCATGCCCTTCGTGATTAGCTTCATTCAGGAGTGGCCCTTTTTGGTTTTATATTTTGGGTTGTTTTTGTAGTTGCTGTGGATAATGGTCTGACATCGACAAGATTTCTCCTTCCCTAGGAAGCAAACCAGTAACAGAAAGAAGTATCTGGTGGCACATGGTATGCCCCCTAATCAGACCCCCTCCGGTTCTCACGCCCCAGACTGTGGGCCAGGCAGGGTGGGAGAAGGCAAGCCCGATACCCTTCCTCAGTACCTTCTCAATCACACAGACCTCTCTTGGACTCACCACCAGCACATCAGATAATCAGAAACAACGGAGGTGCCCTGGCCTCCAGTACTTCAAAACAAAACAAAACAAATCTGGGAGCTGACTCTGACTCATGTTAACCTCACGTGTGTCAGAGCAGAACTGTGCTCCACACTGTTTTCAATGACTGATTTTTTTTCAGAAATAGATCACCTGGACTTTCTTCCAAGGTGCCTCTGGGAGGACTCAAACCTCTAATCTTTTGGTTAGCAGCCAAGCTCATGAAACGTTCGTATCACTCCACTCAGCACTTTTACAATCAAATGACTGTGCTTCAGTTAAGGGTCTCGTGTGGGCTTCCACTGTAGAGTCTCGGGTGTTTTACAGGGATTCGGACCAATGGGCAAATGTGCACATGAGCGTGTGTGTGTTAGAGGATGGGTGGGCAGGACACAATCCAAATTCACTGCTACCAACTCTAAAAACTTGAAAAATAAACAAAAAGATTAACAATTAAAGACAAACACAAAAATGACATACCTTGCTGGCTACCACCAGCTGAACCATTCCAGTGGCTGAACGAAGAATGGCCACAGCTTCCTCATGGGAGAGGCCGACCAGTAAGTGACCATTGATGACCAGCAGCTCATCTCCTAAGGACAGCCTGCCATCCCTGCAGAGATACAGAAAATAGCAAATCCTTTGTCAAGACATAAGGGGTGTGAGAAGGGGCATTTTCTGGAGGTGGGAGGGTCATGAGAAGAAACAGCTAAAGTGGGTTCCAGAGAGAGGAATGATGACCAGACAAGTATGAGGGGGAATTGCTCTGCCCTTTGATCTCACCACGTCCAGAGTCCCACTCATGAGGACCCCATGTGACAGAGTACAACTGATCCATAGCATTTCCTTACCTGTAATCTTGACGGAAACAGATCGTCAGATCTTTGTCCTGTGGAGCCACTGGGTGGGTTTGAACTGTTAACATTTTGAACTGTTAACTGACTACTTACGTCACCTAGGCTCCTTTAGAGCCAAACCCACTGCTGTTAAGTTAATTTTGGCTCGTAGTGATCCATGTTGTCATTGTTGTTAGGTGCCATTGGTTGGTGCTGACTCACAGTGACTCTATGCACAACAGAACGAAACACTGCCAGATCCTGGGCCAACCTCACTATTGTTGCCACACTTGAGCCTACTGGTACTGCCACTTTGCCAATCCATCTCACTGGGGGTCTTCCTCTTTTTCTCTGACCCTCCATCTTACCAAACATGATATCCTTCTCCAGCGACTGGTCCCTC